GCTAAGAATACGAAGAATTAAATTGTGGCGAAATGCTACGAGTTATTCAAATACCTATAGAATGATAGGTTTAATTTTGTGAATGTAAAACACTTAAATACACCAGTTCGATTTTTGATACCTCACTAGTATAAATGCTTGGTTTGGTCTGATATTTAATTGGTGATAGTGTCCAGGGTCACTGATGAGGAGTGGAATTCTCCAAAACTTGTCTGGCCCACAGATACACCCCAATGGAAGAATAGACCATTCCAAGCTTTTACTTGTTGTTAAACAAATGTTTAAACAACTCTTTATTCAGATATTAATTTGTTTCACTTTCATATACTATGTTGACGTTTGTTTTGCACTAAACCTATTGTGTGTATGACCTAGAAGAATGTTTAATACAATTTCATGATCAGAAAGAGATATAATATCCTAATGTAAATTTGATTGCTTTCTAATTATGTATTCAGGAAGCATTTTTTGGACGAGAACTTTTGGAAACAAGTAAAAGTGAAAGTCACTTTGAGGTGTCAGCTGATGATTCATCTAGTATTCCAGCTATAAATCAAGAAAAAACAATAATGCTGTCACTACCAAAGACTCCGGTATCTCAGACTGGTGTGATTGATCAAGGAGCCAGTCTTCAAGTGAGTGCTGTTAATACACCCAACTTGGCTGGAACATCATACAATAATGTTCCTCCATCAACGGCAGTACCTGTGAGAGTTACTAGTTCTTCTGCTGACTTTTCGAATATTTTAACAACTATGCTAACTGGAAATCAGGATAAAAGAGAAAAACAAAATATGGAAGAAAAAGATGAACCTTCACCAAAGGTATGTTTCGTCAGGTACTGCATCTTCTCTGTAATAAATTTTTTTTTATTGTTTTATTCTTTAAATATAAAAATATTGATTTATCAGGCAGTATCTCATTTTGTTAACCCTACCATTACAGGTTGTGTGCAATACACCCAGCTTTTAATCAAGAAAGTATCCATGAGAGTAATTATACTATAATTTTTGATAATGTACTCATATCTTCACAAAATTTTGCAAATTATTTTTATCGTGCCTTTTTTTATTTCAAATGTTTACTATCCAACATGCAAATTAATTTGGATGTTAAGATTAAAAATACTTTTAAGCATAGAATGTTTTCAGATTTGACAAGTGAAATCTTTATAACCTCCAGATAATTATCAAATGTTGTTTTTTTTTTGAAAAAACTTTATATTTTATCTGTTAGTTTCACTACTGTATCTCTGTATGGGTTGGGTTGAGTTGACTGACCTTGTAACCACTATAAAAAAATTGTGAAATAAATATAAATTATGCTTATTTTGTTCTAGAATGAGTACAAATTAAAAATCGAAAACACACATGTTTAGTCTAAAAGTTTAAATCTCATAACATTATACATATATATATATATATATATATTATTTTTATTATATTGACCTTTCAGCCATGCCTGGTTAACAGAAGTTGCAATGACTTGGTGCACATGCACTCATGTTACTGTATCCAAGAATATAAAACTGGCCTTTATAAAATGACCTGTCTTGGCTGTGTTTTAATGGACTAGTTTTTTTGTAAAATACAGTCACATTTCAGTTTTAATATATTATATATGTATATACATTATAACTAATAAATAAGTTCTAAAATTTCAGTTATTTTTCTTACAACATAGAACAGTAAATAAAGAATTATACAAAATAATTATCTCTTCTAGTTATGAATTTTTGAACTTGTTTCCTGCTTGTTGTAGGTTGCTAAGCTTTATCAAATTTTGAACATGAAGGATGTGAAATGAAATAATTTTGTTCAGGTTTTATATATATATACAGTCAAATAACCAAAAACCATAAATTACTGTGTCAATATCATAGAATTCCACTATAATTTATCAAGCTTAGTAACTAAGCTGTATTTGGGTTTAAAAAAATAAGAATTTTCAAATTCATTAAAGACTTACCTTATCATTTGAAATCTGCCATGAAAAGAAAGGGTTTTCCAAGTAAATACTTTGCAAAGGCTCAGAGACCCATATGAGGGGCATTCTGAGCCTTCGATTGGTTATTCGTATGTCACAGACAAAAGTAGGTGTACGTAAGCAAATGTTTTCAAAAATGGAAAGAGATAGGCGGGGCCACTGTGTTTGAATGATTCAGTAAATGTAGTGATATATCAGCATATAGAAGAAATTGAAGGTTCTTATTTTAGATTCTAGCTTGTGAATATTGGTAATTTGAATTCCTAATTTGTAAGAAACTATAGACTTTATATTTGGATGTCACAAACATCTAATTTGAACCAATGCTGAATTCAACATACTGTGACACACAAAAATCAATATATATATGATTTCTTTTTTGATATTTATTTTGAAATTAACTAATAGATCATACTAAAATTTGAATTATAATCTACAATTTGATATCAAACTTATTGACATACATTAATAACATAGTAGTTCAATAAAATTTTGAATGTGAGTCAACAAAGATATGACATGTCCTTTGACCCGTGACCTGTAGCAAATGGGGTTAAAGGAGTGTCCCAGTCTTGTTGGAATATGTTTTCAGTACTTTGCTCTACCAGGTGTGGAATAACAAAATCTTCCAATTGTTTACATGTCTCATAGCCTATACTATCAACTGAGTCTAATCATTAAAGAGTTTCTATATTTTTATTTATAGATGCTAATTAGTATCTAATAATAATAATAAAAATATCGAAATATTTTTTATGTCTTTTCTACATTTCTTCTTTTGTTTTTGTGGCAAAACAAGCACTTAAAATTTTATCATGTGTTTATTTCTGTATCTTTATCTTAGATCGAGGACTAAGCTTTTTCTGAAACTAATACACTGAATGTTTTAAATTACTTTAAATTCTGTCAAATTAAAGAAAAACATGAAGCTGTAAGTCCTATGTTCCAGGTGTATGAAAAGTTTGAAGAATATAACAAATGTACCAATATTTAACCAGGTTAGCATAAGAAATTTCTTATATATGATCCTACAAGATGAAGCACAGTAATATACTTATGTCAATATCCAACTCAACTTTATAGTAACTAAAACACATGAAGTACAATTCTATATATAAAAACTTAAACCAAATAATATGCAGTTTTATTTCTCATAAAAATGTAATATTATCAACTTGAAAACAGTATAGACAATAAAACATACTACCTCTTCTATAGCAGAATACGCTATTTCTGCTGTGTTAAGATCCCTTGCAGCAGTAGCCATGGCAGCCAAACAAGCCCATAAAGCAGTGTCCTTCAAATGACATAAAAACTGTATACTTGTTTAAATGTACTACAAAAGTCAGTAACACATGATATTACATGAACATAAAAACTACCATTTTTCAAAATCTCTAATAATTAATGTCACAGGATACTTAAAGTAGTTTACAACATGGGGCCAATCCAGATGAATATAATTACAGCCTTTATAAATACTTTCTACAACAATGTAAATCAGCCAGATGTCAGAACAAACTAAAAATGTATGATATTAAATTTAAATTAATACCTAAATGTATTTCCAACTAACAGGTAGCTTTTCTGTAGTAATACATAAGTCATAAATATCCATGATTGTTTTATGGAAAACAAAATCCAGGGAGACCTGAAAGTTTGAGATTGGTATTTTCTTGATCAGGAGTAAAGCAGGATGAATAAATGATGTGAATAAGTAAGTGTATTATATAAATATTTGTTAACTAAAATGGCTTTGGAAAAACAAATTTGTAGTTGAAACCCAAGAGTGAATATTCAGGGTAAAAATCTATACTTAGAAACAATCAATAAATAGATACACTTAAGTTTACAATATAAAGAAAACTATAATGCTTGAACAAATGCAGCATCAGGTACTAAAATGAAATCTTAAAAATTGGCAAAAATCATTGATTAAAATAAAGTTTAAGAGAACTTTATGTTAAAATCTACTAATACTTTAGTTATCAGCAAATTATTTAATAGGAATTCTGAAGAAATATTAAGCTTGAAATAAATTTATAATGAGTAATACTATAAGGTATGATAACTATCAAGTTATCCTGTTTAAAATACATCAGACTTGGATACAAATTATAATAAAATGTACATCTTCTTATCATATGATCAAAAGATACCAACACTCAGCTATTTGATTCCTGTTAACAGCAATATTGTTTTAATTACTATTATCTCACTGCTAAGTTATGAACGACATCTATATATACATAAAGCACAAAAATCTGTGTGTTCCTTATCTAATTACTCCTATGTCGCTGGGCTAATCTCAACCAAACTTTGTGGGATGATAGTCTCGAACAGGTTAATCACATTATTGCTGTTATTGAGCATTTATTATCTTTGACATAAGTTAACGTTAACTACACTCATAGATAGGGCTACGCTCTTACACCAGATAAAAAACTATTAAATTTTCTGTCCTCCAGTGGGACAGCAGTAAATTTTCAGATTTACAATGCTAAAATCAGGTGTTTGGTTTCCCTCAGTGGATACAGAAGATAATCCAATGTGACTTTGCTATAAGAAAACACTCAAACACACACACATTAAATTTTCTGTAATACAACATACACACAGTGTGTGTGTGTGTGTGTAAGGTAATAATGAATACTGTAACAATCTGTTATGTTATAAATAATTTGTGTGAAAGTTAGTATTTTTGTATTATTTATCATAGCATCCACCCCCATATCTTTTTTAAGTTCATGACTCAAACAACGGATGGGTACCTCAGTTTGTAATTTAATAAAAATTCTCAATATGAAATGTTATTTGTTCTTTCTGATTTCTGATCCTATTTTATGTTCTACTTAGCACTTTAAAAAGTATGTAAAATATGAAGTTTTTTTAAGTCCAGTTTTCTATTAGTTTATAAAATTGGTTAGAAAAGTTACATTTTTTTTATCAGAGACAAGATTTTTAATCTATACAGAAAGAACAGCAAGAAAACAAAACAAACAATTTAATAACAAGAAGTATTACACATACATCTTCTTTAAATTTTTACTTATCATTTATTTATTCAACAATTAGAAAACCAGAAACATTTGTTTACTAATTTGTACTAATCAAAAACCAGTTACTACCTTAATAAACCGACAGAGTCTCACAGCATCATCCCACCGAGAAGATGCCACAAAGCCATGAAGTATAGAAGGATAAGGTGATACTGATGTAGAAACCAGAGACCCATCTGCTCGACGAATACTAAGGTGTGTTCCAGAGAAACTGACTATTTGTGGGTTTTTTCCAAATTCACTATTGAGGTAATAAAAAATTGACATAAAAATCACATATACTTCAGTAACAGCAGAAACTATATTTACATAACATTTTTCACAGAGTTCTTTTTTAAATTAGTAAAGTAAGAATATTAGTGGCTCATTTTACTTTTCATATTTTGAATTATAGTAACTTAATTATTGAATAAAATTACAAGGTTTCCATTTAAAGAAAGAGTACTTAAAAACCAAAACATAATGTAACAATTTATAAAGTCTTGCAGTTAATTTATTTTAAAATCTAAAACATCAGTCATTTCTGGTAATCAATAACCACATGAAAACCATTTCTTGGATTCAATGAATCCTATAGTAAAGGTAGTATGAAAAAGGCAGATTTGTATTTAGCTACATAAGCTTTGTCTCTATGGTATTCCACATTATTTTCATATTATTAGGTAAGTGTAAATGAACACCATACAATTAATATAAAATCTTATTTCATATTTTGAGTTTTATGTCACAAAAAGTCTCATTTTAACCCCCCCCCCCCCCACCAATCACATCATTATTCCTCTAAAAGCAGAAACATGTATTTGTACTTTTCCAATTAAAGCATAAATAGAAACATGGTAAATTCTGTATTAACATAGATAACTGAATGCTAAGTAAAACCCTCTAACCTGCCTTCCTTTTCATTGATAGTTCGAGAAAGAAGATTGCGATCAACAAAAACGACACTTGGAAAATACCAAACAGTTAACTTTCCACTTTGAAGTGCAGCTAACATGTTAGTGTTGTCATTCCACACAACTGACTGAACCATAACCCCTGAAACATAACACCACATACACTAATTATATGACATCCAGGAATAATATATGAAGTATTAAGTTTACAAAGTCTCATGACCATCCAAGCACAGTAGAACAATGTTGTAAAATCTGATACCACACTAATATCAAAACATATCTGTGCTTAATAAGTTCTCAGATCAAATATACATTTGGTGTCAACTGCATCAATTATAATTTTCCACTTCCATTTTAGAAACTGGATTTACCCAGAAACATAAAACCCTACCTATCTTGATTGTCTTTATTGAAGTATTAGGTTGTTGCTTTACTGGCAATAAGTAGAGGTCTCTATTTTTATCTACTAGGGCCAGCTTTCGCTCATTGGCAGGTCCAACTTTGTCCAATGCAACCTCCATTACTTCCAACTGAAAGTTTGAAAACAGTTCTTGAGATAAAGTAATAAAAAATACATACACAGAGAATAAATTAATGGAAATTCTGAAAAATGAATATCTTCATGAAAAAAACTACCTGAATATCAAAACGAGTGACCTGAAATAGTGAAAGACTAGAGGAAAAGCAGCTAATCATCACCACCAACTCTTGGGCTACTCTTTTACCAACAAATAGTGGGAGTAACTATCACATTATAATGCCCTCATGGCTGAAAGGGCAAGCATGTTTGGTGGGACGGGGATTTGAACCCGAGACCTTCAGTTGGTAGTCAAGTGCCCTAACCACTTGGCCATGTTAGGCCGGTGACTATACAATCTACTTATGCATCTCATGTGTATAGGATGATGCTTCAAAAGTCTTCTGCTTTTTTGTCTTCAGGTGTTTTTGTTTTCAATGAAGATGCAGCTTCAGTAATGTGGCTTCCAATTTTTGTGTGTTTCACAATGTCCTTTATACTCCTGTGAGAAACCTTAAATTCTAACTGACATGGTTGCCAATAACTGTGATATTCTGATTTGTTTGATTTTGTAATTACTGGGAGCTCCATGCTGTACTAACCTTCTGTTCTTTGTGACAACAACTTGGTTTCTTTCTTGGAACTGAAGGTATAACTGGGTCAATGTCCTTCATTTAAAGTGAACAATAAAAATCTTAACAAAACCAGACGAGCTTGGCAGACTTCTTACTATAAAGATGATCTATTATGTTTGTGTCTGTGTTCACACCCATTACCCTCAGTTGGCTGGTTTAATTACTGTAATTTTTTGTATGGTAATTGAAAAGTGTTTGATGATGTACATGTGCTATTATATTTTAAGATTTTTGCTTGAGAAGTGGGATAAAAAAATAAACCCTGAACTAGCACACATTTCCACTTTTTTATAGACTTTTAGCTTTGAATTTAAAAGACATAATTATTTAGTCAATTAATTGAGTTAATTAAATTACATTCCACAAAGCAGGGTATGCAATTAGCAACTAATAAGGTTATTAAAGATTTAATAACAAAAGAAAGAAGAAAGGAAAGGGAACATTATTTAACATTGTCCTTTTGACAATTTTTGCTTCTGTATGTATGAGTACCCTCAGCTAGTTAGAATAAAGTTTGTACTGCAAACAGTTGGCTGTTTCACAAGATTACTGGTTACTTTGATACAATTGGAATGTGTTTGAAGGATTAAGGAAATTACTTTTTAAATATATTTTTATTCATGCAGTATCTACAAAAACAGACCACATAAAAAAATCAACATTCAATAGAATAAATTAGAAATAAATAGTAAGTTTCCAAAAATTTCAGATTATAAGTGAATAAATAATTAATAAAATTTTTCTTTTCTTTAAACACAATATACTGTTGTATTTTTAGCAATAATATTATAACTATTATGCCCAAATTGAATGGTTTCTATCCTTAATTTTATCTAGTTCTCTACAGACATCATCATCATTCAAATTTCAACAGTATTTAATATCTAGCAGATTTTGATTTTTTTAAAACTGAGATGAAAGGTTTAATAAAAATATTACCAATCTTCCTGGTTTATTAATTTATACATTCCAAATACCATACTAGTAGAATTCTCACATGTAAGTCAATTATGTTATTATATAATACACCTGTGCAATTAGCAGCATTTGCTAATTGATTAAGTGACAGCCCCATTGATCAATTAGTGCAATGCTCCTTAAACCATGGTACATACAAGCAAACAAGCTAGAAAGCAGGAAGAGAGAGAGAGAGAGAAAGAAAGAAGTTGGTGGCAGGTAATGCCAGCCAGTTGCCTTATCCTCTAGTCAGAAGTTCATAATTAGTGACAGTGGCACATAGCATTAATAGTTTTGCCATAACAAAAAAGAGAGCAAGATTTGTAGCAATGGGAATCAAAACTGACTCTGCCAAGTCACCAAAACTGAACAAACTTTAAGTTAAAAAAACAACAACTCATAATGCAAACATTGGGAAAAGCAAAGTCATACCATTATGTAGCTTTGTGCTTTACAATAAGTATAATAACAATATTTTGATTACTTGTATAATTGGAATAATCAAAAACAATAATAATTTTGATTAGTTTTTCATGACAATCAATCTAATTAAAATTTTGATCAATCAATTGTTGAAATAATCGAAAACACTAATAATTGGAAAACTAATTTCAATTAATCAGGTACTTTATATGACACTAATTAATGTAATTACTGCTCAGAAGCAAACAAGTGTATCAATTAATTGACTGAATTGCCAAGCTCTAGTGATGAGTAAGAAAAACTTTGTTAAAAACCCATTTAGCAGTGAAATAAATATTTACAAGTTTATACATACAGCATACATTAAATATTTTATCAAGTTTCGACAGACTGATGAAAATTTCTAATTTTCAACTCTGTTTATCTTACCCTGTGAACAAAAGGTTTCCCATCTTTGGCAGGCTTGCCTGTCTGAGTGTCGAACAAATGCACCACTATGATAAAACAATTACAAGAATTAAAATCAAACTAACTTGATTATTATTATTATAAGTTTAACCCTGAGGATACTTTTCTACACCAAAAAATATATAAAATTCAAATTTACTTTGATTAAAAATAATTCATAACCCTCAGTGTTTAACGTTTTTTCAATATCAAAAACATTCATTAGTAATTATGGGCTATTGTGTATAAATATAATGTTTCTGAAAATTAATACATAATCTTTTAATTCTTTACTAACTAAAACATCAAATCTGAAACTGTTTACCTATAGACTGGCACACAAATTGAAAGATTAAACAAAACTTAGGTTCTTGAAAAATAATAGAAAAGTTATAAATGTTAAAATTACAAAAATACATTTTACCAACAACATTGAAACTCTGTATACTAATGAATTACAGAGAAAGAAATATTAACTATTAAAAGACTTCTGTGTTTTAAATATACAAAAACTATATTTATTTTAATCTTTCTCATCTCCTTCTATCTCTTACAGCAAGGTTAGTCATTAATCAGGCTAACTGAGAGAAAAAATATTAACTATTAAAAGAGTTCTATGTTTTAAATATATAAAATCTGTTTTAATGACATTGTATTATTATCACCTTTCTCATCTCCTTTATCCCTTACAGCCAGGGTGTCATTACTCAGGCTAACTGTAAAATGGTTCAATAAATGAGGCCTCATTCCTGCCCATTTTGGTGCACTGGCCATCTTGCCATCATAAAAATGTATGTACAAGCCTCCACCATCAACGAGCAGAAAGTGTCTTTGAAAGAAAGTTAAAGATAAATGTATTGCTGCTGTTACTAAATGGTATTACTTAAACATATATATGTATCTCTTTATTAAAGATGCTAAGCAGCAATGTATGGACATGTATATTCAGTTTTAAACAATGGCCAGCAATCAGAAATTTAGCAATAACATCTGGTAAATGCACATAAGCTATAACAACTTCAGTTATTGGCTGGTGAATTTCAGATGAAACTGGTGACAGACATGTTTTAAAGAAATCATCTTAGTATGGCTATGGATTCTGTGACTTGACATCAGTATAATGCTCTGTAAAGGTTGCTAGTGTTCCTTCAATAATGATGATTTTAAGCTTTTTCTTTTGCATCTTCAATCAGCTTTTGCAGTTGGACTGGCACTTCTATAAAATAGACGAGTGTTTATATTCAAGTTCTGTTTACTGTAAGCTGCATTGATTTTCTAACAATTGTTTTCTGTGTTTTGAACAAAGTGACTCACTCTGCTTTTCTGTGAAATCAATTTCATTATTATTAGTCATCATATTTAAAGGAATTTTGTTATAATTATTAATGCTATTATTTTATTATTATTACTTTACACACTTGTGTTTGCTTAGTATAAGGACTTGCAACTAATTTAAGTCTTCTAATGTTTCTGAGCCTCATGAGATATTATTTGAGTAATAACAAAAAATTATTAATAGTGATGTTATCAAATTCATGATTCAATGTTTTCTAATAAAATCTACCAGTAGATGCTTTATGATGATAAAGCATGGAAACTGGAAATCAAAGTGGATCACCATCAATACTGGTCTACTTCAAAAAACATCTCTCTCTCCAGTTTCCTCTCCAATCTACCACATGTATCTATCCCACCTTGACAGTTCAACCACATGCAGCTTGCTAACCTTAGCTTATTGCATTAGTGCTCATTAGAAGCTTTAACAGAGCTGAAATTGAAAGCAAGATGTAACCATCCCTTAGCAGGGGAGCAAATGGTATAATGACACATATATGGTTATCAATACAACCAAACCCACAGCCATGTTCTGCACATTTAACAACATACATGCTGATGAGGACAAACCATCAACATTCTTAGCAAATACTACCATCTCCCTGAAAGAAACACTTAAGTACCTTTGACAGACAATTCCACTTCACTAGGCACAATGCACTGAAAGTTGCAGCAGGAAATAACCTGCTTTTTCTTTGCCAAAGTCTTATCCATTCCATCCTGTAATATGCATTAATGATGATCAGTATGAGACCTACATAGGTACATAAGGTTGAAAGATACAAAAAAGCCTGTTTAAAATCTGTTTCAGACACCCCCATCAAGATGCTATTACATCTCATAAGCTTTAATGACTCAAGCAGAGGATTGGTTAAAAGAAACCTCTGAAGACAATATGAGTAAACAAGTACTATAAACATGGTTCATACTGAATTGCTCAGATCAATTTCAAGCACTTTCTAAGCACTCTCAGAATGTTTTTCAAGCATTTTTTGGAAGCTAAAAACTACATCAAAATCAACTGAATTCCACTGAAATTTTGTAAAATTCCTATTTATTTGTTCAACATATGAATGTAGACTAAAAAGAAAAGAAAGACAATTTATTGCGCTCAACTCCGCAACATGCATTAAAGTTAGATATATCGACATATTCTACCATCATAATATTTTCAAGTACTTTTGCAAAAAAAGGCCCCTTTTCAAGCATGTTCAAGCCCCGTATAAAGCCACCTATGAGATAGTTGGTTAACACTAGATCTCAGATGCCCTCATATGGAATAAACATCTGGAACTACTGGGATCTGTGGAAACTAACCTAGACAGAAAATGCAGAGATTGGGTAGATGTTGAAACAGAAACACACTGTCAACACCTATTTAAAGACCAAGGTGAACAATCACCTGTCATTATAGCCACAGGTGATTCCTACACCACAGATAGTGAGAGACATGGTTGGGCATTCGTTATCTCGTGGACTAACAACATTCTGTGTAAAGCTAATAGAATATTTAAGCTTCCCACATGCAGCACAGAGATGGGGCTGGAAGTCATAAAGTACGATATGCCCTGAATTACTGAAAGAAATGAGCTGCAATTAGATATTGCCACCATCACCTGGTTATCTGTGCGAGGCCATACAAAAGTAACACTAAATGAAGAAGCTGAAAAAGTTGCAAAAGAAGCCCTTATATTAAAATCAAATCTTGGAGGATAAGAACCTCCTCTGCACTTTTAAGATCAAAATGACAACCATGAAAGGTCTCCATCAACATTTAGAGAAAATGAGACTAATGGAAAGTAAAGCACCATTATATGTGTAGCTACGAAAAGCAAAAGGTTGGAAATCATAAGACAGTGTACAGCCAGAAGGCCACACGTAACATCAGTAAAAGAACTCTCTCCTACCTTCTGCTACACAGCCAGCCTCCACAAGAATGACCAGTATCTCTTGATGCATCTCCCAGAAATTGTCACCTATTACTCAACTCAAATCATTGTAGGTTTCAGTCTTCTTGTAAAATAAGTTTATGAAATTAAGTACTTGTCATTTAGTTACATAGAATGATTTATATATCAATGATTTATAAGTTACATACCATGAGTTCTACTCTATACAGTTAGCTGACTTTTCACTAAAAGTTATTGGTAACTGAAGTATTTGTTAAAATGGAGCTAAATAAATGTTTTAATAAAAATATTAAAACCTTGGCATATAAGGTATATCAAGAGCATTTTATCTGAAGCTTAAATGTGAAAATAAAAGCCTCATATAAACTTTTAACTGTATTTAGGTTAGCCAATCAGAGCAAGTAAGCTTAAGAGTTAATAAAAATGTGAAGTAAATAGTACACATAATATAATACATTTCTTCAGTTTTTTGAAAGACTCAAATGCTGCAAAATGTACAGTATAAAAAGTAAGCAGTATTATAGCTCATTTCATCTTTTTCTACACTGTTAAACTTTCACAGGACTATGTTCCAAAAGTTTATAGCCATTATCACTAGTGATTTTATTTTATGATAATAGGTAAGACACTTTATACTGGAAATCATATTATCTGTGTCTATCTAAAGCCTGAGCTGTTTTTGAACTGTTGTGCCAGATGATGACTATATATCTAAGAAAATATTTCTATGGTCTTCACCTTTCTGTTTGGATGACTAATCATATGAGAAAAATGTACAGTAGTCTGTAACTTTTTGTTTTGATTATTAACCACACAAGTAGCAGTTTACCATAATATTTACCCTTTTGCAAATGACGAGATATATAAAAAATATTCTACAGTTCCTTACTTCCTGAATGATTATGACATGAGAAATGCTATATAAAAATGTTAACTTTATAATAACCACATAAGAAACATCTTTTCCCAGTTTAATAATAAACCATATGAGGAAATATATTGCAGTATTAAATTTTCTACCTAATTCACTAACCATTCAAGATACACATTATTGTCTTTACCTTTCTGCTTGAATGACTAAACTCACACGACATTCTTTTAAGTCAAATATCTGAGGAGTGTTCCAGTTCTTTGTGCTAGATATACGAAAGAAAATAATAAAATCATCACTTTAGTTTACTTCTGTTTCCATGTATTGATTCTGCTTATTTTTTCTTTACTTGACTTTCTAGATCTTTATGAGAATATGAAATGACCTTTACTTTCAGTTGATAATTTACAATTTTAATTTCAAATTGTTTGTTGGATCCTTACTTTTAAGCTATCCTTGTTATATATATATATATTTTGCTTAAAACATTTTTTACTTGTAAGAAAAATGATTTATACAAATAAAGTGAAAATCAGATAGAACCTACATTCTAAATAATGCAAATAACTTCCATGATTATCAATTGCTTAATTTTTTAAACTACATGTAACACATATATTTTTCAATATCTATCTTGCATGCTGATGATTTGAATAAAACTAATTTTTTATCTTATTTAATGATAAACGAGTTTATGTATGAACTTTTAGAACATATAGTCTACTTAGGCATCAGGCTTGGTTCTGTAAATTGTAATATATGTAGAACCTTCAATGAAGAATTTTTCTTGCTAAAAAAATCCATATATTCTACTTATACAAATTTATGTGAATTTATCTTAACTAGGCTGAATGAGCAAACTATTTTAAGAAATAAACAATATAATACAGTAATAATATTTTTGTTTTAAATGTAATGTGACTACAGAGTAGTGAGAATGATCATTAAAATTAGCTTCCTTTAACCTTGAAATTTGTGACAGTAGTCAAACTAAAGAACTGACAGTTATGAGATAAACTGTACAGTAAGATCAATGGAGACATACCATTAAAATTTTAGTGGGTGTCTAAAGTTTCTAAACTTACTAATCAGTCTTTAATGAATAATAAATATTTCAAAATATGCTAATTGATTAAGCACTTATGGTAAGGTTATGGAATCAAATATTAATTACTGTCATGGTTAGTAGCCTATATGATTAATTTATCTGATTACTAATTAATCATTATTATCAGTTACTAAAAATTTCTAATACCTATTAGTGTCTAATAACAGCAATACAGAACTCCTCATTAATTAATAAGTAATTAGACTTCGTTGGCTGTATTGGCTACTAACATTGATAATGGGCTATGCTAAATAATCATTACTAAATAACAATAAGATTCTAGACATATTGCCTAACTTTTACAGAATGATAAATAAGATTATATACTTAATAATTACCTTTACTGAATTATATCACGTTTTAAACATATTATTCAATCTTTACTAGATGACAATGTTTCCAGTCAAGCTGTATTGTCTTTACTAGATAAAATCAGTCTCCTTAACATACTAATCAGTCTTTACTGGATGACAATGTATCCAGTCAAGCTGTATTGTCTTTACTTGATAAAATCAGTCTCCTTAACATACTAATCAGTCTTTACTGGATGAAAATGTTTCCAGTCAAGCTGTATTGTCTTTACTAGATAAAATCAGTCTCCTTAACATACTAATCAGTCTTTACTGGATGACACTGAATTACTTAATAATCTAAACGGAGGACATCCAGTAGTTTTTTATAATTCCAAATTACACAAAAAAATATTAAAATGTACTTTTATGTTGCTTTTCCTTAGACCTATGAAAACATAATAGGATATTATTTTACGAATTTAAGAAGAATTATGGAGCCTTTTCTTGGCCCCAAATTAACCCTAAATGTAACCATAAGCCAATCTTTATTGAGTAACTAAGATTCTAAACATTCTGATAAAAGAAAGATAAACTTGAGGTTTGCAGTTATCAAACATGCTTAACTAAGACAAAGTAATACATAACATGGCAAGAAGGTAATCTCAACATATAATTATTACCTGTAAATATAACACTGAGCTGAAGTAACCACCACAAGGTGGTTGTACTCTAAGGAAACCTTTATTATACAGTCTCTGAAATCTAACTTCTCCCAGACTTCATTGTTGACATTCAGCACAGAAATAGTCTTTCTGCCTGTAACTGTCACTTCATAGTTCTTCCATTCTAGGCGGCTATAGAACAAATATTCCATTTAACTTATAAACCTTGGGTAAAATTTCACATCACAAACTGACAAGGATTCTGAGAATTATTTCTGAGTTGATCACTTTTAAAAGCTGTACTATCTATCATGTAGACATACACAAAAACTATAAACAAATCTGAATGTTTATATTTAATATCAAGTGCAAATTTTATACACATTTTTATGTGCAAGTCTTAAAAAATTGTTTCTTTTCATACGAAAACTAAAATTAAACTGCATAAAAAACATGAAATTTTGTCAAATAAATATGACATTAAAAACTGTGAGAGATCTAGCAAGTTAAATGCAAAATTAAATATGTAGAGTAAAACTGATGCATTAATTACCTTCAACTTTTGTTTTACATGTACTAAGCTAAAATTGTTTTATGGTTTAATGTAAAATGTGTTCAATTAAAAAACATAGCGGTTTTAAGAATGGATGTTTAAAAACAAAATGAAAAACATTCCAATTTTCTATTTTTGTGCATGATTTTAGTAATTGTGAGAAATTGAAAAAAAATGTATTATTTTTTTAAAATATTAATTAAATTATATTTCATTTCAACTATATTCAAAAGGAGGCGAACTACCCAACTGAACTAAAGAAAAAAATTATATCAATAATAGTTTCTTACCGTTCAATTACATGGGCAAAAACAACATGACCATTTCCACAAGCTCCAGCAATCTGAGTTCCATCACTGGACCAGGCTAAAGAGAAAATACTCTGGGTCTGTGGCTTATCTAAGGAGTAAGACCACTGAAAAGAAGCATGGTTTTAGAAAATTTCAAAGTCAGTTTTTTTACAGACAATGAAAAAATACCTTAATTTCTATTGTGAGTCACTTGTTGCACGTGTGTAGATGATAAGAAAAATCCAAATATTAATACAAACCTTAACATAAATAAAGGGACACTGTTTTGGGCTTAACTGAAGAAAGGAAAAATAACAAATCCAAAAAAGATCAAAACATTTATCAAATATAGCCAAATGTCTGCATGTACATAAAAAATTGTTTAAAAGTAAACAAATGATATATGTAATTACAAAAACATAATTTCAACATAGTCTTGACAAAAAGTATGATTAAATTGGTTAAACAAAGATGGAAATTTAATTCTGTGTATTGAATACTATGAAACAACTCTTTCACATAATTTACATGACTACATGGTACACTTTAAAAAGCTGATAAATAATTCTTTATCTAAAGGCAAAAGAATAAAGAATAGTATGTATATCTAAGGATGTTATATAATTTTCTGATCAGATAGGGTATTTGAAGTTTACATGAATAGAGCAGTTGGCCATTTAAAGTGAAAAATTATTCACTATTTCACTACATAGTGGTATATTCTTGATTTAATTATTGTTACTAAATGTAACTGCAATACAGATTATACCAATCAGTAAATAATTTACTGTCATAAGAACTGAGTGAAAAAACAAGATAATGATAGGAAAAGTTCTCAGTCAGAGTAAGCATATTTAGAAGTAATATTTGTTTATAAATGTAATCTTCTCAAAGTACACACATAAAACATAGGCTTCTTTTATACCAGAAGCATATCATTTACTTTTTTTACAAAACAGATTACATATATATATCTTACCCCAATCTTATCACAAAGTCTAAGAGTGTTAAAGGACCCAACAGCAAACAATTCTCCATCTGGTGACCAAGACACTGAAGTAATAGGGTAGTCATGAGGTTGACTACTATACAAGACTCTTCCATACGTGTCCCATACCTACAAATAAGAATATCTGTCAAAATTCACACATACATGTATGAAAATATGTACTTATGAATGCTATTTTTTTACCGTCTTGGTACTGAAACATGTCAGAAAATATCTTCATACTCTGAATTGGTTCTAAACTGCTCTTTGTTCAACAGTTTTTGTATATTTCCAAAAACAGACAGGATGACAATGATCTGAAATACTGCAAATAAAGATCACCTTGTACTTGCAATCTTCAGCACCAGAAACTATAATATTGTTGTTTGGATTCCACGAAACTTTCAAAACTAATCCATCATGAGCTTTCCACTGAAAATGGATGAAAATACAATACTAAGTTGAGATGATACCAGCAAAAATTTAACAGGACAATATATAATATAATAATACTGTATACTCATACTAAAATAAAAACAATAAAATTTTTAGAGGAAAACAATGTTTAGTTCATTATGAATCTTTTAGAAAAATAAGTGAAGATAGCAGTGTCATAAAATGTTCTAGAGGTCTACTCATTCCAATGTCTAAAAAATATCCTAGCACATTGTATGTATACTGTGATCCAATTCTTGAAATAAACACTATATATCTCTTCTCAAAACATAAAAATTACTGTATTTATGAAAGGTGATTAAATTTTAAAGATTCTTTTTTTCTGAAAAAGTTTACTACAGAAATCAGCATGCAGATAAAATAACAGTACAAACACAAACATCAGAAATTTTTTATAATCAGTAAATAGCCCATTAATATTTTTTTTTCTACAACTTATTTCCATTTTAATAAATTTTTTAGTAATAACAAAATATTAGAAAAATAACTTATAGTATGATTTCAAAAAAACAATTTGTTTTGATATTCTTATATACTGTTTCCCGTATGTGCTTCAGTGCTACAGGTTTTACTGTATTATATGTATGGTGTTTTACATTGTCTTTCACTCACCACAGTAAATCTATATTTATATGAGATTTGAAGAATATTTAGCACTGTTGCTACTAATTTATTCTCCTGTTCATGGTTACTGGTGAGGATTGGAATTCCACAACACCAGTATAACTCAATGATAAATGGTGAATCAAATGATAGATTAGGCTTCATATATATTTTGTATTCTAAACAGCGTACCTGCTGAATAATTTAGAGGAATAATTTAAGAGCATCATATTATTGAAATTGTACATAAGTATAGGTTTACTATGGTGAGTGAAAGCTAACTCAAAACACCATACATATAATGTACATTCCACCACTATATGTAGCCTAGTCTTGCTCTTTTGATTTGCTCTTGTCCAGAGTTAATGATGAGGGGTGAAATTCTCTGGAACCAGTATAACTCGGTTACATGTGGTGGCTTGAATGATAGACTGGGCATCATCTTTGTTTTGAGTTTTACTGTAGTTTTATTCCTATAAATTCCATGACAGCAAATGACTAGTAAAATCAGTTTCTGTTAACCTTATTTTGTATATAATTTAATTTTACTTAAATGATGATATTTAAGTTACCTGCAAAGGTTTAGAGTTTGGTTGAAGAGACTTAATCACCAAATACTTATCCCATGTATACAGCACATCTCCACAATTTGGTCCCCAAGCTAGTGAATACACGGGTGCACCTGTAACATTATAAATTTGCCATTTAGTAGTAATATGTAATTCAGGAAGAGTTATCTATACTGTAATTATATAGTAGCTATACCTCTTGTTGGTGCTTCTTAAATCTTCTTATTTCTCTCTTTTCTCATATATTTTCAGCTAGTGCCTTACATCTGTGGTCATATGTCTCACATCCACTACTGACAGAATTTCTTGGTCAGTAATCTTTTGTTATGTAGTACTAACTCCAATTGTCATCTATTTTGATCTTACACAACCTTACATAATAGCATTTTTTCCCAAGCCTACAAATGTGGGGAGTTACAGGAATAGTTACTGTGTAGGTTAAGTATTTTTTTTGAACTATGAAAATTAATTTACTAGTTGGGAAGTTAAAAAACCTGGAATCCTAAAGTGTATGTAGAAAAAACTGTGAAAGGCAATTCACCATGAAAGGTCTGTCTTAAATGCAAAAGTGGAATAGACGAATTTGCTAGGACAAGTCTCACTTTATTCCAACAAAGATAATTAGTTCATTGTTTGCATTTGAGGAGGGAAGGTCCTCCACTGAAGTCACTTCAGTTCCATGACAGTCCAACTCAAAAGTAACAAGTCTCTCCTTAGAAAAAATGTTCTCACCTAAAGAAGCAAGTTGAAAGAAATCATTTTGAAAGACAAGCTAGTTTACAGTAGAACAAAGGCTACAAAAAGCAACAGTAATAATACACTGAGCTTCCAAGCCTTCTAGAAATCCAGAACGACTTACAGCCTGGCTAATTCATTACATTGTGTTACAATTACAAAGTGGAAGACTCAGGGTCACCTTTGGTAAAATGAAATGAAAGAAGGGAAAATAAGCAATAAAATTTGTTACACTTTGAAAATTATATTGGAATTAATACTAAAAACAGATTCTTACAAAATAAAGTACTGCTAGTAAAATAGCATCACAGCAACAGATTAAAGCAGCTTGAATGTACTACTCAGAATGCAATGGAAAAATGTGACCATACAAGGTTGCCAAGTACAAGAATTTATGCATGTAATGTTCTCATATGGAATGACGATATACAAGATTATAGGTTGCAAATGTCAGACAATAAGTGAGGGAGAAAGAAATAGAAAGAGGGGAAGAAAAAAAACATAATTTATGGTATGAACAAAAGGTTGTAAATAACATGTTTAGTTATTAAATTATCATAACTGGTGTAAATAAAAACATAATAAATTGTTAGGAGTAACTAAAACATCTCTTACTTTTATATTTGATCTGTACTTTAAAAATTACCTTCAGATGTAAATGTGGTAGTTATTACTTGAACATTGGCCTAAACAAGTGAGATTTTTACCACAGTGGAAGACACATAGTGTTTGTTAGGATATTTAATATATCTACATCTATTTTCATTATTTCATTATAATGATTATTCTGCACTGTTAGCTTATTATATGGATTTAGGACTAATCTCAGCCTCTTGAGCTGACTGAACTTCATGAGATATCATTGGGTTTACGGCCGAAAATATCATTAATACCGAGGTTACCATTACCCAACTGATGAAACAATGTATTCTAACCATCATCTTAAGTAATATAGTTTGTAGATTATATTTAAATATCATTACTAAATACATATTTTTATTGTGATCTATGTAAATTGCTGCCTTTTAACAAGAGTTAATATTAATTCCAGTTTGCAAAATTATCTGAATAGTAACTTTATTTTCTTACTAAATACTACTATATAAAAACTTTGAATGATGAATATAACATTAACTTTTATCTCAACTTTTTCAAAAAAAATGTGTAAATGATATATCTTTCAATATTCAAATATTATTACTTTGCATGTAGACAACAAACATACAAATAGATTTAACATTTTTCTCATCTGATATGAGTAAGTACAATATTTTCTATTTCTTACATTTTTAGCAGGACCTTTCAGGTAGATCTTTTATTATTTTAAGAACAAAAATACCCAAAACTTAGTTGACATTTTTTCAGTATATATTTTTGAAAAATTTTTCTGTTGTTGGATTTTAAGCAAAGGTTCTCAAGGACTACCTGCTCAAGCTATCTATAATTTTGAAGTGACAGAATAGTTGGGAAAGCAGCTAGTCAATATCACTCTTTGCTAACTCATGAGCTACTCTAATTAAATAGCAAAATTTGACCATCATTCTTTATAATGCACCATGACTCCAAGAAGAGCACGAGCATTTTATGGCAATAATGGAACACAAACAACAAACCCTCAGATCCACTATCCAGTACATTAACCACTGGGCCATGCTTGGCCCTCTCCCAAGTACCATGAAAGTCATGAATTTAAAACAGACTGATTTAGTCTAATATGATGATTAAAAACTAAAAACAGTAATTTTGTGATGGAAATTATTTCTGATTAGATTTAATATCATGAAATCCTAAATATTAAAATAGCTGGATAGAACAAGACAACTCTACTTCAACCAGCAATATCAATACTGATACTTAATTTACAATACAAATTATCTTATAACAATGCTGAATGGTTTTGCACAATCCCATCAAAAGACAAACATTATAACATTAACAATCTATAATGTATTTCATTACAGTAAAAGATAAATTTAGTTAAAGCTGGACTATAGGAAATTTCATACATGGGTTACACTATGTTAAAAGGTGATATTATTTCAATGTTTATTTTATGAATGATCACAAAAACAAAATTAAACCAGATTTTTATAATCAGATGTAACTGGTACTGATAAAGAGTTAGAAATAAGAAGAAATATGAAGTCTATACAAATATTTTGCCATACTAGAAAGCTAAAACAATGAATTACTAAATGTACTTTTTTCATAAGTATAAAATAATTTCATAATCAAATACAACATTCTTATTATTAAGATCACTTCAAGTATCCTTCTTAAAATTCCACTGATCCAGTTAAAAATAAAGAGAAACTCACTATTTGATGCTAAGGTAGATCTCAACATCCCAGTACGTGACCAAATCTTTACTAAACCATCTTCTCCACCTACAAAAGATGCAAAAATGTATTTTTATTTGATACACTAAAACATTTTCATAACAAACAAATATATTAATATATTTTTCTTTAAAATAAAAAGCATAAAAACAAACAAGTTTTTTTTAAGAAAATATATTTAAAACAAAAGTAATTTGTTGATTGAATGACAACAGATACATGAAACATTATGGTTGCACGGTTATCTTAGCTGTTAAAAAAAAACCTTACTTATTAGCAATAGATATTTGGATAACCCATTAGCTCAACTGGTAAAAGTGTTCCTTTTTTTTTAAATCACAATCAAGAACTAGAAGGAGGAGATGTCTGGATACCACAAAAAAATTGGTGTCACATTAAAACCTCATAACTTTGACTTCTCAGACTTATGAAAAGCCTTGCTTATTTGAGGTGTCATACATGAGTAGATCGAGGGTTTAAAAAGTGCTGTACTATCAATATCTAGTGAGTTAATCTTTTAGCTCAGTTGTTAAGAGCACTTGTTTTTGGATATCCTGTCAGAATTAAATCCCATCCCTGTAATACAGATGTAAAGATATTCCAAACAGTAACACACAAATGCAGCTATAGTAAGATAAAACTAAAAAAAATTTATAAAAAATGATTAAAGATGCTGAAAGGTTGTTTTTAAGTACAAAGCTACATAATGGGCAATCTGTACTCTGTCCACCATGGGGAATCAAAGCTCAAATTTTAGCAATGCAATCTATAAACTTACAGATAATGATCCAACAGGGTAAAAGCTGAAAGGTAAAAGGAATTATATGGTCAATATTTCAGCCAACAACCTTCATCACTGATTGTTTTCCCACTATTATCTCACCTGTAACAAGAGCTGAGCCATCATGACTCCACTGTCCAACTAGTATAGCACCTCTGTGACCTTCAATAGTCTTTTCAATTCTACCTCCTTTAGATAACAGATGAAATTTTCCTGTAATTTTTAAGAACATGCTGTAATGTTTACATGTAATATTTTTTGTATAAAAAAGAAAATAATTTTAATATATATTTAAATAGAAAATTATGTTATATTTGGTTAAAGGTAATTGTTCTCTTTCATAATATTTCATTACCTTTAATAACATGTAATAAAATTAAGCTTTGTTGATAATTGCAGAAGTATGCTGATAACTACAGAAGCACTTTAAGCTTGGTTCCATTTTTGTTTTTGAAAAATTGCATGTACAAAGGCATTTAGGCTGAACTTCAATTTTTATTAACATTTACAGGAATACTTAAGCTGGGTTACAATCTGCATTGATCATTTCACTGACAGGATATCATGAAATCTAATATGTAGCAGAAGACTGTTAGGACATGCCTTACACAAATGATCACCTTTGGTTCCAATCCCTTAGCTACATGAAGTTACAACTTCTCACTAAAATAATTAACTTACTTTTGATTGTGTTATTATTAATTAACTGTCATGAAAGGATAATGAAGTTGGTACTAATGGGTCATGCTCTATAACAGTAATACTGAGAGATCTATACATGTTTCATACGTCAAAAAAAGACCCACTATTAAAATACTCCTAGAAATGATACAAATTCTCTGAATGTATTTAAAAGTTTTTAATGTATTCATGACTGTTTTTACTTAAATATCTAAAAGATAAGTGATAATTACTGACACTAAAATGGAAGACAGACAAGCTTTTAAATATTTATACACATTTGGATTAATGGCAATATATTTACTGTGTGAATTACATATTTCAAATATTTAACTATAAAAAAGGATGTTTACATGAAAGTGCACAGCTATCAATAACCAGAAAATCAACAATAAAATCTGAAAAGGTTTGATAAAATTTTAAGAATATGGTATTACACTAATTTAATAACATCAATAGTAAATCAGGTAATAAGTAAAATTTAAATTGAAGCTTAGGTCCTAGATGTCTCATAATATCAATTGTTTAAGTCATTTAACATATTTGTGAGTTTAACCACATGTAGCTGTTTTAGTAAAGAACTGCTTTAGTTTGAAAATGACTTAGATATCAATTTATCAATAACACAACAAAATGTATAAAAATACAATAGGTTTATGAATTCAAACAGGTAAATATATCCATGATACAGGTAGCCATGATTAATGTTACTAAATATGTAAAATAAACTATAATGATTATGTACATATATATATACACACCTGGAAAAAAGTTAAGCACCCCCGTGTTTTTTTCAAGTGATTCAGATTCGACGTTCTTGTGACTGATTATAAATTACCATTCAATCTAAACGTGTTTATCAAATGAAATTATGCATTATTGGG